TAAAGATGTTTCCATAGATTCCCCTCAGCCTGAGGAGTGCCTTTGAGTCATTTGTGAATTCCCAGAAAATACAACGAAGCCAGGTCTCTTCTCTGGCTGGGACGATGCAGCCACCCTTCAAGTCTGAGCCTTTGACTTAGTTGACCCAGCAAACAGGAAAAATCAGCTATAGAGTGATCAGTGGTGCACCTGTCACCCAACCACCCTGGGCAAGGCTGGCCAAGGCCATTCCCACTGGAGATCCTCTCTAGAATATTCCTTTCAGGATAGAAACAGTGTCTGGCAATGTGCCCAGTGGATAATGGAACAGCTTACATCTATCCATCTCCCTGCTCACTCACCCATTCATCCATCCATCTCTCTATCCATTCACATGCCCATTTCCCCACCCACTCCTCACCTATTTATCTACCCTTCTACCCACCCACCAAGCTACCTATGCATCTCCCCATCTGTCCCCCACCCCTCCCACCCAGTCCTCCCTCACTCCCTCCACACACCCATCCCCTTTCCAGGTGCCTATTCTAGGACTCTGTACACACCCTGAGCATGTGTGCTCACCCCAGACCCCTCAACATCCCTGAGTGGAGGTCTGGTGCCAGAATACAGCCCCTCAGAGGCAAGGCCTGTCCTGCTCCTGGGTACAGCCAGAAAGCCCAGGGCCTGCAGCAGCACCTTTGAAGGCTGAGGAAACCCAAGTGGCAGGATTCTTTCCTTAGAGCCCCCTATTCACCCCCAGTTACCTGGGTAAGTAGGCACTATGTTTTGTCAGAAAGACATGGGCAAGCAGCCCAGCTCCCGATATCCTTAGGGCACCATGAACCATGTCTGCTGCTTAGGGAATCAGTCCACTCTGTGATCCCAGAGTCCTGCTCCTCACTCACCCACCAACTGGGGGGATCTGAGCCCTTTTGTTTCTTAGAACCTCAGGACCTTCTCTGTGTGTGGGCCTTGTAAGGGTAAAACCGGGCACAATGGGGGAGGGGCGTCCTGTATACTCAGGAGTCACAGCCCTCTTGGGCAAAGAGGGACTCAGCTAGGACCGGTGCATGGGGTGGGGCTCATGAGCTCAAAGGGAAAACAGTCATCCTTTAGGCCAGGTATCAAATTCATTTTGTCTGAAGGACTGCAAAACCCGCTGTGTGGCTAACCCCAAACTATGCGCTTCCTCCGGCCTCCAGGTTCCCACGGGTGAGGAACAAATCCTCACAGATTCTTGCTAAACCAGTCCTCTGATCATACTTTGGATTTCAGCCTCCTCAGCTGCACTCAGGGAAGGAAAGCAGGTTGTGAAGAGAAATGGACCCCCTCACTGTGATTTTGTTGGCCCCAAATCAACCACTGCTTTTTTTCTTTTTTGTTTTTCTTTTCTTTTTTTTTTTTGTGGAACCAGGGATCGAACTCAGGCCCTTGCGCTTGCCAGGGAAGTGCTTATTCCACTGAGCCATCTCCCCGGCCCCCTAATAAGGACTTTTTTTTTTTTTCTTTTGCTCCTTGAATGCCTTCAGGGCACTTTTGGATGGCTGGAGTGTTGTGGGGATCGAACTACAGCAACCTGAGGCTGCCAGCATTGTGGAAGCAGCCACTTAAAGAACAGAGCTAGTTCCAGGCCCCCTCAACCACTGCTGGGGCAAAGAGCAAGAACCTGCCCTTCCCAGCCCCTCTTGCCCCTGTAGTGGGAACTCTGAAGGCTGGAAGGGCAAGGTGGCCTCAGTGGAGGAGCCCCCAACCCTCGTGGACTTAACAGAGTCCAGCATGTACAGAAGAGGACATGGATGAGGCCATGATAGCCTACACTAGAAGCAAGACACACAGCACAGGAGGGAACACACCGCTGAAGAGCAAATAACTTAGACCACGGCTTTTGCAGTTTGTTAATTAGGGCCTACGAAAGGTTATTTGTTACACTCGGTGGTTATAACACATGTTCTTAGACTCTTTCAATCTCTCTTTCCTCCTTTCTTCTCTCTCCTATTTTTATTTCTTGGTCACTTATAAAAGAACCCAGACCTTCTGGTCCTGAAGAGTGTCCCACAATTGGGCTTTGGCAATTGGCATTCCCACAGGCCACAAAACATGCTCCTCAAGCCTCAGTATGTCGGCATTGCGTTTAGGTCTACTGGCTCCACCATTCATTCCAGGAAAAGAAGGAATTATGGGCTAGATCAGTGCCTTTTTCTTTTTGTTTTTTGGGTTTTTTTTTTTTTTTTTTTTTTGGTTTGTTTGTTTTAGGGAAGGGTCTACAGGGTGTTCAGGGTCTCACTACTAGATCGGACTCATAGTGATCCACCTGTTTATAGCCTCCCAAGAGCTGGGATTACAGGTGCGCACCACCATGCCTAGTCTCCATTGCTATCTCAGTGCGCCTGGGGTCAGGGCTGGCACATCAGGCCCAGGGATTGAACCCCCAGCCCCAGTGCCTGCTTGCAGGGCTTTAATCTGCTGAGCTATTTGGCCGGCCCAATCAGGGCCTTTCTAGCCTCAGGCCCCCCAGGAGTCTGACAGTCTCAAACTGTGATGCTCGAATCCACAACCTCACTAAGACCCTGACAGTGTTAGCCTCAGGGTCACTTCCTCGGGCATCAGCAAGGCTCATGGAAATCCTGAAACAAAGACACAACCTTCCCTTCCCTTGGGTTTCTCTGGTTACGGGCACACAGGAAACGCGGCACAGATGTGTGTGGGGTTCTCTCTGTTTATTCACCTGGGCTCAAGATCATGAGCTGTCTCCCTGTTAATCTCGAAAGGCGAAAGGCGAGAGACAGCCTTGCCCTTTAGTCTCGGGATGAACAAGATTCAGTTCACAATGTGTTTTGATGCACGTTTTGGCCAGGAGGCTCTCCTTCCTTGCTACACCCGGAGCAGGAGTAGGAGCAGGAGCTTAGCAGGTTGTCCCAGCTCCTTGTGACCTATGGCTCCACTGAGCAATGACCACTCCCTGCCTCTGCTGGGCTTCCCCTGTGCATCTACTGTGAATCTGGGCTCAGCCATTTCTCCTATGGAGCAAAAGGACATTTTAGGCCACAGGCTGGGGCCTGGGTGCCCCTACCTACTGTATGGTCCTTGTTGCTACACTTTTCCAGTCAACAGAAATGTTTTTGGAAACATTTACATGTAAGCACTTAAAATATAACAATCAGGCCAGGGATGTGGCGCAGCAGCACGGAGCCTGCCTGACAAGCACGAGGTCCTGAGGTGGACTGCACACGCACACGCACGCGCACGCACACACACACACACACTCTAGTCATGCATGCATACTGAGACTTATTCAGATGAGCACTTAGAAGGGTTCAGCTTCACCAAATCCAACTTGCAGCCCTTTTCACAGCCCCACCATTACCTCAGTCCCAAGGACACCAATAACACTTGTTCACCTTTACCCACAGTCCCCACTCAGTCCTCATAGAATGATACAACAAATAATGGCACAGCTGCCACACGGTCACTGAAAGCAATCTTTGACAAACCCCTAGGGCTGTGTCACCTGAACTAACTCCTTTCTGCACGATTATTCTGCTAAGTCAATACACATTTTTAGGCTCATTCACTTCTGTTTGAACTTGCAGAACTTTTTCTAGTGAAGCGTTACGCAGGGCTTTGGAATTTAAAGATTAGGGTCTGCTTTTTTATTTAAAGCAATGCAAGCTTTTCATGTAGTTCCAAAGTTGCATTTATAAAATATTATTACAGTTTAAATCTGAAATGCCCCCCCCACAAAGTCTCAATCATTCAAAGGTGGGGATTTGGGGGAAGGTGATTAGGTCTTAGGGTGCTCTCCTCAGCACTGGATTAACCCCTGATGAGTGCTCAATGTGCCGTGGAGAGGGGGAGCCGGGGTGCTGGGAGTGTGACATGGAAGGGTGAGTTCTTGTTCTCAGCCCTTCCCGTCCCTGCTTCCTGGCTGCCATGGGTTGAGCCGCTCTCCCCTACCAGGGCCCTTCTACCACAACGTTTCCACCCTCAAAGCCAGCCAGCCACGGACCGAGGCCTCTGAAACTGTGAGCCAAATGAGCCTGTCCTCCTTTAAATTATAGGTATTGGTGTTGTTTTTGTTTTTGTTATTTTAGTACAGGGTCTACAGGGTCTCACTATGTAGATCGGACTCACAGTGATTCGCTTGTGTTCAGCCTCCTAAGCCCTGGGATTACAGGCACGCACCACATGCCCAGTCTCAATCTCAGTCTCAGCATGCCCTGGGGGCAGGGACGGCAAGGTATATTTAGAGAAATTAAGATTTCATACATCCTCTCCATGCTCTTTGAGGGTTTTTTTTTTTTAAAGAAAAAAATAAGATGGTATAAAATTTCAAAACAAGATTGTAGGAGAGTAACAATAATTAGTACCTTTCTCATTGTTACGGTCAAAGTAGTCGCTCACATTACAAGATAGGGGCACGGAAAATCAATCAAACAATAATATAGGCATGATTATAGGCATAAACCTATATAGGCATAAACCTTTCTTTTCAATGAACTAATAGTAATTAGTAGTATGACTATTTCATCATATATATTTTTTTTTCCTTCCTTCTTTCTCCTTTCCCTCTAGAATAAGAAGCTGAAGGAACAAATAAGACCCAAAATATACATTAGATATTGTGAAATATCTGCTCAAAAGGGAAGAAAGAGTGGAATAGAGGAGAGGGTTTTGTTAAGCTTTGGATTCTCCTTCCATTGCTTAAATTTTGGGATGGATGTCTTTGTATCCTCTCTCTTAATAGATGAAAGCACCCAGTAGACTTTTATTCACTATGCTTTTTTTTTTTTTTTTTTTGTGGAACCGGATATTGAACTCAGGCCCTTGCGCTTGCCAGGCAAGTGCTTATTCTACTGAGCCATCTCCCCAGCCCCCTCACTATGCTTTTTTCCACTTAAAAATTCTCCTGGGGAGATGTGCCACAGCCTCGGTAGCTGAAGTATCTCTGCTCCTGCCTGAGTGGTGCCTCCACCTCCCCTAGGAGACCGTCACAGTCAGCCAGCTCCTGCTCCACAGCAACTATGTGCGAGCGAAAGGCGGTGATCAAAAATACGGACATGTCAGAAGAGGTGCAACAGGATTCAGTGGAGTGCGCCACTCAGGCGCTGGAGAAATATAACATAGAAAAAGCCATTGTGGCCCACATCAAGGAGGAGTTGGACAGGGACAACCCCACCTGGCACTGCACTGTGGGGAGGAACTTTGGTAGTTATGTGACGCATGAAACCAAACACTTCATCTACTTCTACCAGGGCCAGGTGGCCATTCTTCTGTTCACATCTGATTGAAGGCATGGACTGTGCCACACTCAGTGATCCATCCAAAACCAAGGACTGCAGCCTAAATTCCAAACACAGAGACTGAAAATCTTCAGCCTTGCTAAGGGAACGCCTCGATCTTCTCCGTGTGTACGGGGCATTCTCTGTACTAGTTTGTTGTGGTTATAAAACATTTAGCAAAACAGCCTACATTTGTATTTATTTTCTGTTCCATACTTCTGTGCCTCATGTATTTTTCTTTTAAAAAAATACATCTGTTGGCAATGAAAAAAAAAATTATCCTGGGACCAGCCAAATAGTTCAGCAGATTAAAGCGCCTGCAAGCAGGCACAGTAGCCGAGAGTTCAATCCCTGGGTCTGCCATGCTGGCCCCACCCCCGGGCCACACTGAGATGGCAATTGAGACTGGGCATGGTAGCGCACTCCTGTAATCCCAGCTCTTGGGAGGCTGTAAACAGGAGCATCACTACAAGTCTGATCTAATAGTAAGACCCTCAATACCCTGTGAACCCTTTCCTAGAATACAAAAGGAAAAAAAAAATCCTCCTGGTAAGCACCCACATCAACAGCACAGAGATTAGGAATTCTTGGTGCAGCTGCATAATATTCCCCACACACAGGTGACTCAACTGCTCCCCTATCATGAGCCTTGAGGTCTTCCAAGTCTTCCCAATTACAGGTTTCCTGAACCACCTCCTGCGAATGCATTTCCTGTATTTGGCAGTACTATCAACACACAGGTTGTGGGAGGTGAGCTGCTGGGTCAGAGGCAAACACATCTGGAATTCTGCTGGGCATCACCGAGTCACCCCTCTCCACAGTCTACCATGGTGCACACCTAACAGAGTTGGCATTGCTGCAGCTGGAGCACCACAGTGAAATTCCCATCCCTACTTCACTCACTAGGAGTGAAGCTGGTGGCTTCTCACATGTGGAAGGGCCATCCTGGTTGTCAATATTCCTTTGAGCAGTGCATGTGCATCTCTTACTCATCTCCCCTGGGTTTATTCTTTGCAGTTTCCAGAAGCTCTTTTGCATTATATATTGACCCTCAGAGACACCTGGCATGCTCCACCATCTGTTGCGTCTGGCACACAAACACTAGTGGCTTCCTCTGTAGCGAAACCTATATGCCCATCCCTCTGTGCATGTGGTCCTTGTATCACAAGAAAGCTCTAACCACATATCAGGTTCAAGACTTCCGTGTGCTTCTGGTACTCGAGGGTCTTTATGACCCACTTGGAATTTTATCTCCACATGCCATGTGACCATGTGTCCCCAGCTCATGATTTCCAACACAGCCATCCAACCAGCTGGTTGTGGTTGGATGAGGTCTGTCTTTACCCACCAGTTGGATACGCTGCATAGATGCTTTTAACTTTAAAAATTTTAAAGATTCTGTTCCACTGATTATCTGTCTGTCCATAGGCCAACACAATGTTATTTTAATTGCCAAAGCTTTGTGTTTTGTCATATCTTGATGCATCACAACCAAGAGCACATGCATAACTTTACAAAAGAGTAGCTGGAGAAACAGAACACAATGGCAAACCTACACCCCATTGAGACCAGGTGCCTGAAGAGCATGACTTGTGGGGTTGTGCAGACACAGGCAGAAGTGCCCTGAGCCCCGTCTGTCAGGTAGGAGCACTTCTGAGAGGGAACTTCTGGCGAGAGAGGCCTGTCTCTCTCAGTGGGAGCTCCAGAGCTGTGGAGATTGTGACCAGGAGGACGAGAAGGAAGTGGTCTCCATAAGAAGAAGTGGTCCAGGGCCTGAGGGCAGTGGGGGTGTCCGGGTCTCTGTCCAACAGGTCTACCTCTGGTTCCTACTTCCTCAGTCTCTCCAGGTCTTTGCACAGAGCCAGTTCTGTGGTGAGAGCTCATGAGAGCTGTTCTGAGCAGTCTTTCCAGCCAAGAGCACAGTGTAGGCAAGGAACAGAGAAGGATGCCCATCCTTGGGAGATACAGAGGAAAAGCCCAGAGTCCTGCTCCCCAGTGAGCCTATAACGTGTGGCTGGGGGAGTCCAGGAGTATGCCAAGTGCCCAGACAAAAGATCAAGACAAGCATTTAGTAGCTGGCAAGGGGTGGCCATCAGAGTTGTATTCTGGGGGCTGCAGATAGAGGGACAGGCAGGAGTGATATGCCTATGGTACATACTAGATAGGATGCCACCTTGCTTGAGACCACAGCATCTGGCTGGGCTTCCAGGCAAAAAGTGGGAATTCTTCAGGTATAGCATGAGCAAAGGGCTGGATGTCTGAGTTTCCTATGCAAGGTGACCCAGCATTTTCAAGTGTGAGCTGATGAACAGAAGACAAATAGGGACAAGACCTCAGAACCCAGAAGTGGGCAAGGGTGTTCTCTGAGGTCAGTGAGTCAGCCCTACCTCCTCTGGTAAAAAAGTAGGAAGCTCCTGCAGAACATACTTTCCAGCCCCAGGACGCAGATAGAAAGCCCACTATAAGCAAGTTATTCCCAGGAGGTGCAACAAAACCACGTGTCCCTTCTTTGGACGTTGACAGGTGCCCCTCCCCCCCCACACACCTAGGCCTCTGGTCCAGCCCAGCTCTGGTGTAGTCCTCAGACACTGATAAGAACTTCCCTTGCTACCAGGCACACACACCTAGGCCCACCAGTGCAGTCCTGCCCCCAGATGGCCCTTGAAACCAACAGGCAGCTCATAACATAGTCAGACGTACCACACCTGGAGTGGCCAGTGGACACACTGGGCCTAGAAGACCCTACATCCCAGTTCAGAGTGAAAACCCACAACTGCATAGGCTGGGCCACTGGGGCACCTGCCCACATCATCAATGCTGCCCAAGCTTCCATCTGGAGCCAAAGCCAACACAGTATATCCAAGTCACATTCAGGACACACCACTAGCAGACTGTCTTTCTACGCGAGTCACCCTATAGAACAGTACAGGTGGCTGGCCCACCACATCCATAAGCATTAGCGTACAGACACAGGAAACATAAACTGCAAGGTAACACGATGTGTCTAGCGGAACTTAAAACTCTCCCGCAGGAGACCCTATAGAAAAGGAAACTGATGCACTTCCTGAAAAGGAACTCAAAATAATGTTTAAAAAAACAAAGCAAACGACTTAATGAAAAGCAAGAGAATGAGGCAGATAGTTCAACACAATAGGAAGGCAATTCATGATCGGAAAAAGAAATTCAATAGAGATGGAGATTATTAAAACCAAACAAGAGTTTTGGAGGGGAAAAGCTCAATAAATTAAATTTTACAATACAATCGAGAGCCTCAAACGCAGACTAGATCAGTCAGAAGGAAGAACTTCTAGGCATGAAGGTAAGTCTCACACACACATACACAAGAAAAGAAAATAAAGAGCCTTCAAGATCTATGGAACACTGTTAAGTGAATAAACAAACAGTTGTATAATGGGGATTTTACTAAGAGAGTAGGAAACAGGCATGGAAGTTCAAGAAAATATTTGAAACAACAATTACTGAAATGTTCCCAAACCCTGGAAAAAGAGAGAGACATACAGGTCCACAAAGATCAAAAGACCCCTAGTAGATGGAAGCAAAAAAAATCTCCAAGACATATAATCAAACTGTCACAAGTACAAGACAAAGAGTGAATTCAAAAAACAGCGAGAGAGAAGGGTCAGGTTTCAGGGAATCTTCAATGAACTAGCAGCAGAATTCTCAGGAGAAACCCTAGAGGCTAGGAAATAACAGGATGATAGACTGAAAGTCCCTGAAGGAGAAGAAAAAAAAACAAACCTACCAACCAAGGATACTCAGCAAAACTGTCCTTCAGAAAAGGAGAAATAAAACCTGGACAAGCAAAAACTAAAAGAATTTTTCCCCTGTGGTTCTAGACATTGAATCCAGATTTTGTACTGAATTACATCCTGTTTTATTTATTTTTTAAATTTTGAGACAGAGTCTAAGTCATTAAGTCACCAGGTGAGTCCTGAGATTACACGTATTTGCCATCATGCCTGGCTTAAGGATAGCGTGTGTGTGTGTGTGTGTGTGTGTGTGTGTGTGTTGCTAAGGATTAAACACAGAGCCTTCACATTGGGCTATATCCTCGGCCCTTTAATATTTTATTTTGAGAAAGAGTCTTGCTAAATCATTAAATTGGGCTGGGGAGATAGCTCAGAGGAATAAATGCTTGCCTGGCAAGCTCAAGGTCTTGAGTTCAATCTCTGGTACCATAAATAAATAAATAACCAACCAACCAACCCAGACTGGGCTCCACCTTGCAATCCTCCTGCCTCAGCCTCCTATAGTGCTAGGATGACAGGCATGAACCCGTAAAATTTTGAAAACGTATCACCAACAGATTGGCTTTGTGAGAAACACACATGGGAACCCTACACTAGAGACAAAAGGCCAACTGCTATCACGAATACATGCAAAAGTTCGAAAGTTACTAGTACAGAAGAGACACAATGGAGGAAAAACTTTATTATCAGGGGCCAAGGAGATGGCTCAGTGGAATAAGCGCTTCCCTGGCAAGTGCAAGGGCCTGAGTTCAATCCCCAGTTCTGCAAAAAAAAAAAAAAAAAGTTTATCATCACCAAACCAGAGATAAACAACTAGAAGGAGCAAAGGATTTACAAAACAAGTAGGGGAAAAACCAACAAAATGACATGAATATGTCTTTGCTTATTAATCACCTTTAGTTGAAATAGATTGAATTGTTCAATTTAAAAATATAGATAGGATTTAAAGAAAATGTATTTTTAAAAAGATTCAATGAGCCCAGTATGAGGCGCACGTCTGTAAACCCAGCACTTGGGAGGCCAATGCAGGGGGATTGTTGTGAGTTTGAGACCAGCCTGGGGTACAAAGTTAGCTCACGGCCAGCCTGAACTGCAATAGTGAGACCCCGGCTCAAAAAGAAAAGAAAAAAGACGACTCAATGATAAACTGCCTGTAGTAAACTCACTTCACCAGCATAGACAAACATATTCTGAAGGTGAAGGGTTGGAAAAAATATATTCTATCATAAATGGAAAGCA